AGTATTACATCGACAAGTACTAAGAACGAGGAAGCTACTCTTAAAACGACCGTGGAGAATAAATTCCAGTACGCGTTGTCAAGTTTCGCGCCCGCCAGGGGCGTCTCATTTTAATAACCCTCACCTTAGTTCAAGTTCGGAAGCTTACGAAAGTAAGCAAAACTCAGCGCAAGTATCGACAATCCAGTTTCGCGGCACTTTGCGATATCTTTCAATCCTAAAGCCGCATTCATAACCTCAACCACACACGTGCTCGTTCGAACGGAACTTCGCGCCATTCGCCATTCGTATTCAATAATCAAGCTGCATAGATTATTGTACAGTTGTCTCCGCAATGTATCACTTCAATCCAGGAATTTAGTTCTACAAGTAATAATAGTAATACTAGTCAACCTTGTCAACAATAAATAACAGAATAAATAGCATACTTCAGCCATATCTTTATTGTATTATTATAATATCCCTTCCGCTTGTGACCTGTCATCGCTACCACACAACACCCGTAGTCTCTGAGTTGTCAATGGCATCAAATTGTATCCGTTGAACCGGCCTTGATAAAACAAGTCGGAACGACGAGGTGCATTTCGTACACATTCAAAACAATTACTACGCTACTGGTCAAAAGCCATAAATGGCTGTTTACGAGTTCACAGATGTACAAACCTTTTCGAGTCTCATGCAACCTTGGAGAGACTTTGTTAGTTTTTTGTATCCGTTCGATAATTCTCTTTTATCAGTTGTTGAAAGTTTTTCTAGTAAATATAATTCGAGAGATTTTCTTTTCACTCTCGAACAAAGCTTTTTATTAATGTTCTAAAAATACGATAAAAAATTTTAATATAATTCTAAAATTTGAATATACATGGATATTAAAAAATTACAAATTAATTTTAGAAATATATAAATAAAGCCTAGACCAATAATTAAGACGTTCAATTTTTTAATATTTTAAAGCTTTTTTTATAATAATTATAATAAATTCGCATATCACTTATAATTATGATCATTGTAGGCAAGTTATTTAAAAATTGTTATAATATAAATTTATATATGGAATATAATATTAATTATTATAATGTAGCTAATGTATTTTTTCATTATGCCATAAAATAGATGCAGAATGTTTTTAAAAGAATATCCATTAATATTTTCAACATGTTTGTAAGCACATTAGAAAATATTCGCCAAATAATAATGTCTTGATTTCATTAAGGTCGTATAAATTTTACTTACATTTATAGGTATTCTTCGGGATTGATGCAGTCCCATGAATTTCAAACAAAAGAAAGGTCATACCCGCAGTCCAGCGTACCGTATGTGCACCTAGACTCACCGCGCGTGCATAAAGGCTGACCATCACGTGCGCCTAGGCTGATCTGCACGTGCGGATCGAGACGGGTACTCGAGCAAAATGTTTACAAACAAAACTCGGCAAGTCCGAGCAAGTATACGATCTAAAATATAATTTACTGCCAGCTCTCACAAAAAAGGGATGCCTACGAAACTTCTAGAAGCTTCGTTTTCTCACGCCAAAGGAAAATTTCTGGAAGGGACGCGCATCGACACTGTTGCCGGCGCTGAAGACGCCGCATGCACATTTAAGCGCAACGTGCCATGAGGCGAGGCTCATTCGTAAAATCACTTCGCTCTCACTCAAGCGTAACTGCCGGTCAGTGCATAGTATACTGTAAAGACGCTGCATGGCCATATAATCGGCGTCATAGTTAAAATTACGCGCGTGCAACAAATAAGAAATCAGCAGATTAGATCATAGTTAAAAGTACCCGCATGCATAGAAAAGGTAATCGGCAGTTTTAATTAGTGATTATAGTGAAGCCAATGGAATAGTAATCAAGGGGGACATTAATTACACAGCATGTAATACACCTAGCCTGCAGTTCACCAGGTATACCTTTATATTAATAAATAAACAAGTCACATCTCGCGCTATAGTCGATCGGGCACACTTACACTCTCTCGAACTAACCACTCGACATCGTACAGGCCCGCTAGCACAACCTGGGCATACTTATAATTGTTTTACAATCATTATTCTTGTTTTAATAAATATATTAAATTTTTTCAGCCTTGTCTGTTATTGTTTCCTTTAAAATTATCCTGCCGAGAGACTAATCCACTGAACTAATGAATTGGCAGTTCGAGCCATAAACTACCCTTTAAAATCGAACAGGTATAATCAATAAATAATTAAAATATATAATTAATGTTTATATAGTTTAATATTGTTTCGATGAAAATTTAGTTTGTCCAGTATGATATACAAGTGAATATATAGTATATAGTAAGTAAAATTTTTTGGTCAAGATAATTGAACATTTGGTCCTTCGAGCCGGATAGTCTCATCGTCAGATAATAAATTGAAGGAATAGAGCGGACGAACAAGGCCCATATTGCCATACTAAGTCTGCCAGCCCAATAGAAGGCAACACATCCAAGGGGATATTTCATTTCATTACACAAATCAATAAAGAAAGACAGTAAATACAGGATGGAAGCCAAGGGAACAGGAACTTCAAAGGCAAAGAGAGCCAACTCCCTTCGAAGTTCAACGTCTACTTGATGAAAATCTGAATTTACGGTAAAATTGAATGCTCAAACCGAACGTATAAAAATATTACAAGGTCTTGCTAAGAAGTATGCAGTGCCAGACCCTGACATCACAGCAGAAGAACTGTCAGATGCTTTCTCACTTGCCGAAGAAATTCACAAGACCTTCAATAAGGAAAATGCATATCTAGAACAATCTAGCCCACTGAGCAAGACACTGAAGACAGCATTCCTATGGATATGTTATCAACCGAAGCATCCCAATTTGTAACGAGACGAGGGATTATCAGCAGACTTCGCCAAAAATTCAAGATCGAGTGCAATGAGCAACAGCCCACACTACATCCTGTAAGAACACCTGGAAGTCGACTACCAACAATTAAATTACCCAAATTCAGTGGAAAGCAAGAAGACTGGGACGCATTCAGTGACCTCTTCGAGGCACTTGTTTTAAAAAGCAGAGAAATTAGTGAAGTGGAAAAGCTACACTACCTATTTACCTCAGTCGACGAATCAGTTCTACCCTTTATAAGGGGATACGCGCTCACAAAGGAATCCCTAATGCCTGCATGGGAAACATTAACAGAACAGTTCAGGAACCCACGCCAATCAATCCGTGCCTGTCTTCTTAAAATCTTTCCTCCCATAAAAACAGTAAGGGGTGATGCAAAGAGTTTGAAAGATCTTGCCAAAAGATCCCAAGAGGCAGTAAAACAACTTCTTTCACTGAACATATTACCAGACTTGTGGAACTACATTCTCGTGCATCAAATCTCATTACAATTTGACCGCACTACGGTTGAGTTATGGGAAACGTCTCTAGGAACATCCACCGCCTACCCTCGTCTAGATCAATTAAGGACCTTTCTCACCACAAGGGTGAGATCTCTTGAACAAGGCGAACGGGTGACAGTAACTCCTGCATGTTCCCGAAAACCGACACCTACGCGATTTCAAAAGACTAGGCCGTCCTCCTCTTCAAGGAAATATTTAAACTGCTATCAGGTAGGTGATAAAAGGTTCACCTCTCGATACAATTAACGATGCTGCCTATGTTGTGATAAAAGGCATTCAATCTTCCAATGTGAGTTGTTCAAAAATATGTCACAAGTAGAAAGGAAGACTCTTATAGAAAAGCGATCAGCATGCGTAAACTGCTTACATCGTCATGAAAACGGTTCATGCCCCGCATATGCAAAATGCACAAAATGTCAAGGTCACCATAACACAATGTTGCATGATGCATTTCGAAATGAACCCATCCTAAAGAAAACAACTCCACCAACTAGCTGAAACGAGGAGGCAATCGTCGAACAAGATCATACCAACTTGTCTTTATTAGCTACAGCCATAGCAGAGATTCGAACGAACAACATGACAGTGCAAGTTCAACTTCTCATTGACCAAGGCTCGGAGCTGTCATTCATCGCCAAAGGACTTGTAAAAAATCTACACATCCCAAAAAGGGACTCCACCATCCACATTCATGGAATTGGGGGAATGCAGTCAACCCGAACCCAAGGTGTTGTGACAGTAACTCTCCACTCTATCACTTCTGATTCCATTGTCACCATACAGGCACACATTCTAAAAACATTAACCTCAATTATCGCATCTGCTGAGCCTGCATCTCAAGACTAGTCACACCTACAGGGTCTACCATTAGCCGACCCTCAATATTGCAAACCTCGCACAGTAGACATCATTCTGGGAGCTGACACGTATGGACAAATAATTAAATCTCAAGTCATCACTGACTCGCCACATGTGCCAATGGCACAGTTATCCATTTTCGGATGGCTTGTTCTGGAACCAGCAACTTCAAAACAAACCTCAATAGTAACAGCATTTCATGTCTCCTGGCATGACGAGGAAGAAAGAATAAACGAACTCCTACTAATATTCTGGGTCCTGGAAGAAGTGCATTCAGGCGACAACATTAAACGTACACCAGAAGAAGAACAATGTGAGGAGTATTTCAAGACTACTTATTCAAGAGATATAATAGGGAGATACATAGTGCGAATTCCGCTTACATCTCCCAGTGACAAACTTGGTTCTACATACAACACTGCACGACGGTTCTTACAAAGTATACCTAACAAATTCGTGAAATCAGAAGAATATCGAATCGAATATCACCAGTTCATGATAGAATACAAGGATCTTGACCACATGAGATTGGCTCCTAAAATTCCCAGTCATTAAGCGCAGTATTATCTGCCACACCACGGTGTCCTCAAACCAGATAACACTACAACCAAATTAAGAGTAGTATTCAATGGTTCCTGCAAGTCTACGTCAGGACTTTCTCTCAATGACATTAATGTATTCTTTCAATGCATACTCGATCTAACCTAAATCCAGACTTTTCAAACGTCTTAATTTGGATCAGAAGACAACGCTACCTGTTTGCCACCGACATCACGAAAATGTACAGACAAATTAAAGTACACGAAGATGACTGGGACCTACAGAGAATTCTATGGGTTAATGAAAACAATGAAGAAGTCTCTTATCAATTGACAACTGTTACTTATGGAATACGAGCTGCACCCTTCCTAGCAGTGAGAACACTACTGCAATTTGTGGAAGACGAAGGAGCAAAGTACCCTCTAGCAGTGCCTTCCATAATTCACGGAATATACGTTGACGACATATTCGGAAGTGCGGACACTCCTGGACAGCTAGTAAAGGTTGCACTCCAGTTACGAGACCTCTGCATGTCGGGCGGTTTTCCACTTGCAAAATGGTATGCTACACACAAGGACGTCACCACTGCAGTCAATGCCAGCCACATTCAACCACAAGCAGTTACTTTCGACAATCGCACAACAAAAATTCTTGGGCTTAATTGGTCACCTCAACAAGATATATTTTCATTCACCACCATATGGACATCAAGACAAGATAGTAAATTTATGAAGCGCCTCATCCTATCTGAGGTTGCAAAAGTATTTGATCCACTGGGTTTTGTATCGTCAGTTGTAATCAAGGCAAAGATATTCATGCAGGAGCTCTGGCTGCACAAACTACACTGGGACGAAGCCTTACCTGCACAACTATCATCCCAATTGATGACCATTAGGTCAGATCTTACAGCATTCTCAAACATAACAATCCCACGTTGGCTTAAAGTTACAGGCTCCTCTCGACAAAAATTGCATGGGTTTTCGGACGTATATCAACGGGCAATCTCAGCCGTCATATACATCTCTGTGCAAGATTCACATGGGACCACAACCACCCTGGTATGCTCAAAGACGAAGGTGGCCCCATTGAAGAAGGTCATAATACCACGACTAGAACTCGCAGTAGCACTATTACTCTCAAAATTAACTCGCTACGTAGTTGCCACCTTACGAATGAACATTGATGCATTCCACCTATGGACTGATTCCCGAGTGACACTGGCATGGATGCAATCTCACCCATCCAAGTGGAAGGAATTCGTAATCAACAGAGTGTCATCGATTCAAGATCTTACACCCAATGCCCAGTGGAGATTCGTTCCTGGAATATCAAATCCAGCAGATTGTGCATCAAGAGGCATCACGTCATTCCATCTTCAAGAACACCCTCTTTGGTGGAATGGACCACAATGGATTTCAAATACTAAGAATTGGCCACGCCAGCCAACTCCGGATGACACTCAGTGCCAACAGGAGGCAAGACCCTGCACAACATTCACCGCAACTACCTTCAAGCCACAACATGCATTGAAGTTCCATACAGTCACTTCCATACAGGAGGTTCGTCGCTCGGTGAGGAATTCCCAAAACAATATACTCAGATTGCGGTACCACCTTTGTTGGGGCAGACGCCCCCTTAAAGAAGCAATTCGTATAAGGTACCCAAGAACAAAAACAAATCAGAAGATACAACCGCACTCACCCCTGGACATTTTCTAACAGGAGGCCCGCTCACTGTAATTCCTGAACCGTCATTAAAGGAAGTACACATGTCAAGACTGTCACGCTGGCAATTCATTCAACAACGCGTACAACAGTTCTGGTCTCTCTGGTCGACTCACTATATGCAACGACAGCAATCCATCTCAAAATGGCACCACCCACAGAATGACATCAAAGAAGGTTCTATTGTGCTCATTACCGATGAACGACTACCTCCTAGTATATGGCCACTCGCTCGAGTACTAAAAATATATCCTGGTGGAGACGGACTGACCAGAGTCGTAACCCTAAAAACGGTGTCTGCTACAATATCAAGACCGATCCATAAACTTGTAGTGCTACTGTTCGATTTTAAAGGGTTAGCTTATGGCTCGTACTACTAATTCAATAGTTCAGTGGATTAGTCTCTCGGCAGGATAATTTTAAAGGAAATCAATAACAGACAAGGCTGAAAAATATAATATATTTATTAAAAACAAGGTTAATGATTGTAAAACAATTATTATAATATTGCACTGTTGTGTAGAAATAAATAATTCTGTTGGATTATTCAAATGATGTGTTCTTCTAATTCTTATGCTATGAAGGCTTCTATGGATATTACTGTGTTGCTTTGAGGTTATGCTGATGTTGTCAATGTCAGCTGATGTCGTCAGTCAATCATACTTGTGAGGCAGCATGAGAAGATGGTAGTTGAATCAAGTATGCTTGATTAATGAATAGCTATACTTGCTGTGGTGTCAGATCTTAAATTGAATTTATTATGTAATCAATTGTGTCATTAATTATGTAAAGGGACAGCAGCAGAATCTAGTCACAGGTAAAAACACTTAAATGTAAGATTTCTAATTCGTGAAGGATTTAATAATCTGTATTTATAGAGTCTATTAGTCGATCTGTGTTGTTCTTGTGTAACCAATGTGTGTGAACCACAGTGACTCTTGAGTCAGCTGTTCCGGGGCCTGTACCATGTCGAGCGGTTAGTTCGAGAGAGCGTAAGTGTGCCCTGTTTACAATAGCGCGAGATGTGACTTGTCTATTTATTAATATAAAGATGTACCTGGTGAACTGCAGGCTGGATGTATTAGATGCTGTGTAGGTAATGTTCCCCTTGATTACAATTCCATTGGCTTCACTGTAATCACTTATTAAAGAACTGCCGATTATCTTTTCTATGCACGCGGGTACTCTTAACTATGATCTAATCTGCTGATTTCTTATTCGTATGCACGCGCGTAATTTTAACTATGACGCCGATTATATGGCCATGCAGCGTCTTTACAGTATACTATGCACTGACCGGCAGTTACGCTTGAAAGAGAGCGAAGTGATTTTACGAATGAGCCTCGCCTCATGGCACGTTGCGCTTAAATGTGCATGCGGCGTCTTCAGCGCCGGCAACAGTGTCGATGCGCGTCCCTTCCAGAAATTTTCCTTTGGCGTGAGAAAACGAAGCTTCTAGAAGTTTCGAAGGCGTCCCTTTTTTGTGAGTGCTGGCAGTAAATTATATTTCAAATCGTAAACTTGCTCGGACTTGCCGAGTCTTGTTTGTAAACATTTTCTCGAGTGCCCGCCGCGGTCCGCACGTGCGGATCAGCCTAGGCGCACGCGATGGTCGGCCTTGCTGCACGCGCGGTCAGTCTAGGCGCACATGCGGTACGCCGGGCTGCGTAAATGACCTTTCTTTTGTTTGAAATTCATGGGACTGCTTCAATCCCGAACACCTTTCATTTGTTTGAAATTCATGGGACTGCATCAATCCCGAACAGCTACCAATATCCGAAGGATAAGGCGGGCGGAATGTTCGGGATTTAATTTTAATTTTAATAATAAATTATCAATTTTTTAAATCTTAGTTAATAAAAATATAAAAATTTAAAAGTATAAATTCAAATACATTTTTGCTTGTAAAACTAGAGATAATATTGAATTAATATAGTATATTTTTATTTACATTACCAGAATTGGATCGCAAGTAGCCTTACAATACTACAAATTTATTCAGATAATGAAAATTGTTATTCATTATTTTTCGATGAAGTTGTGATTTCTGAAGGGTTTAGGAAGAAGGATGAAAGTTTAATTGGATCGTGCAGAAGACTTATTCAATGTTTGATTATTTGTTAATAATTCAATGAGCATATAAGAAATGTTACTTTTGAGAAGTAATATGAATGATATATTACTAATTATATAATTATAAATTTATGAATTAAAAAAGGAATCCATAAATATTTGAAAGTTAAAATATATAATCCACATATATATATATATATATATATATATATATTCTTCGCCTTTTAACAATCGAAAGATGCACATATGGAATCATTAGGCTACTTACGAGTCAAAGCAGAAGAGCAAATCTGGCATACGTCATAGTTAACGCTAAGAAGATGACGAATTCAAGATTCTTGCAAGCAGTGTATTATGACACTAAGGACAAAGAATTTAGCGAAGATCATGGAGTATTAATAAGCTATAGTCTTATGTAGGAAGTTATGGGAGCTTTATAGATTTATGCTGAGGCTACTCTGCGAAATGCACTTGCCATAGACGAATAAGAACGTTTAAAACGGGGACTTGTTGCGATCGGTGTTCCATTGCTTCTATAAAGATAACGTTTGAAATTTGAATATTCTCGAGAATAGTCAAACCATGTAATCAGCGAAAGTACAATTGGAGTCGCAAATAGAGGTCGTTTGCAGTCGGGGCTCGGTCCTGTTTATGTAGAGTGACAGTATCCCGTAAGGGATTACTGCAATGATAAGCTTAGGGCCGGTAGGCGTTGATTTATCTCCCTCTACTTCACTCGTTTTTATTCTCTTGATCTCTCTTTCTTTGTTGCATACAAGTAAGCTTTAGCCCACCACTGGAAATTAGTGAGTATCAAAATGTATCGACAATCTTAATTTGAATACCTTCAACGCAACTTATAGATGTTGCAGAGTAATTTTACATTTTCGGGACATCGTAGGCGACAATATATTATTTCCGATCTATTTTGTAATTAAAAACATACACATTTATTATATTGAAATTTTTATATTTAAATTTCTACTTTGTTAAGTTAAATTTATCACTTGTTTTAAGTCAACAATTTTATAAAAAGGAGAAGAGGAAAATATTTTTATTTATAAAACAGTTTAACTAGTCGTATAGACTATTATATATTTCTTTACATCATTTGACTATTAAATATTCGTAATATTTAAAGGCAATTATGTAAATATTTCTTGGAGAAGAAATTAAATCTAATATTTAGAAATGTGTTGTTAATTATACTCGAGTTACTATTTCATTTTCCAAAGGTCTGAATAGAACCCCTTACATTATGTTCATTTCGAATTTTCAAAAATAATTTTACTAATATTTACAATGTTTAAATTAAATATGTAAATGTAAGAGTTAAAATAACTTTAACTTAATTTTTATGCTTCATTTATAAGCCTTCATTTTGTGTATCAATTCTTTCTGCCTTACTATTTCATTTCTTTTCTAAAAGACATATAATCATTGTAGGACTTTATAATTTTTTCCGAGCGTAGTTCTTTCAATTTAGATAAAAAAAAATTTCATACGTATTTAATAAATAATCAGTATCATGCCTCAAACAGAATTTAACAAAAAAGTTCCACTAATTTATCTATATATCTATTTAATTCTATTTTCTATTTTTCTTTATCATTTGAAATATATTTAATTAATTCTTTAACAAACAGCTTTTTTAAGTTATAGAATAATTCGACCTTTTTTTCAACATTTTTTCTCAATATTTGAATTGTCTGATTTAGATATGTTCGATAATTTACTATTTTCTTCTTCAATAACGGAATCTCAATATTTTATATGTTCTGCTTTCTTAATCTTACTAGCTACCCTACTTTGGCATTAAAATGTGTTTATGTCTCTTTAACCCCTTTTTTTTATATTTGAACCATTTTATAATATGCAAAATGGAAAGTAGCTGAGAGTGTACTAAAATTCCGATTAATATTCAGTAGTCAAACGGATTTTTCTCCATTATTGTCCTAAAAAGAATGATCGGTAATAAATTTCCATTTAAAATACGTAAATTAAAATAATAGATTGAGGATTATTTTTTCTCTCTGTTTATTACAAAATTCATTTAAAGAATTGACTGTAACTTTCTTCTACTAATTTTTTGTATGTTTCATATGTATTTTAAAATTCGCTTATCATATTTTTCAAAAGTATCGATCCATATAAGTATACATAAAGGTGAGGGCTTATTTGTAAAATGAAAGTAGTCAATATTAAGATTCACTGGTTTAATTTAAGAATTCCTAGTCTTAAAGGTATTTTAAGATTTCGTTATAAATGGATGAAATTTTTATAAATGTTTAAAATGAATTCTTTAGTGTACTTTGTATAATCTTCATGATCATTAAATTAATTATAATTAATAGATACCGTGTATTATTTAAATTATATTTAAAAATTATATAATATTATATGATTTAATTGAAGCAAACGGGTAAGCTTATTTTATTTCTATTTAGATGGAGCGTATAATATAATGTATAATAATTTTCAGAATTAGTTTAATTTAGAATTAGTTTCAGTTGCACAAAGATGAATATAGATATTTATAAGAAATTTCCGCTAGATTAATTGTAGAAAGTTAATAGATAATAGATATTAATAGATATTAATAGTTGAAATATAAAATGAAAACAATAAATAATAATTTACTAACTTTAACTTGTGTTCCCGCTTAATGGATAATTACTTAATCGCTAATAATTTTTCTTCTGAAACTTTAAATATAATAACTTTCATCATTGTTATCGTATTATATTAAGTTGGAAAATAAATTTATAAAAAAATTATTAATGAGAGGAAAATAAATAAGGAAATCGATTTGTCTTTTATGTTTTTGATTGGTTATAACTGGATTAAAAATTCTTATATATTCAATGCACACGGAGGAAAATAATCGATAAGCAAGCTGAGAATGAAATATGGATAGAATGAAAAAATTTACATTGTACGAAACAAAAGCTGGGGTGTAAAAAGACTAACGATTCCGGCTATTTCAATATCAGATATCTCGATAAAGACAGCCTTAGAAAAAGCTGAGACACGAGTCGGTAACTTGCACTCAACCTTTGTCCAATAAAACGGCAATCACGTGCACTGACGCTTCCTCCGCTCGAATTTCCAAGTACATCACCGAGTAAGAGTAGATGAATAATGAAAGACACAGAGTCAGGATAAAATAA